ATTTTTCCCGCCTTTGTCACGCCACTTTCCACCATGCTTTGATCACGTGCTGTAATGTAGCCCGAGCGGGGTACATTGCTTATTGTATCACGATCGGGATACATTTGATTTTAGTCAAGGCCACGTGACCAAGAATCAACCAATGGCAGTCCCTGTTTAGTTGAGTGAAAGTCTAGGAATATAACAAGCCGTGATGTTATTGGCTATGAAGACTCGTAATCAGTAATTGGTGCGTTTCGATCCGTCTATTGTCACAGTTAAACAGTCGTCTATTGTTAGTCAAATTATCAGTCGTCCTCTCGTAGTTAGTTTTGATTGATTATAGTGCTATTTTTGCAACTTTTAATTAAAGTTTTCTGTTTTACTAAATCGTAGTGCAAATAAAGTAGCACTTTCTAAACACATAACAGAGGCATTCCTTTCCTACTGCATGACAGATAGGAAAAAAACAGTTCATAGTCAGAATACCTTAGAGTTGATAAATTTGTCATTTTTTTCCAATGTTAGCATTTATATTTGAACTCTAATAACTCTTCCACTACTTTTCCAGTTTGCAAAAAGGGATGAAAAAGTAATGCCCCCCTGTATGTATTAAATTTTACATCCAATCCCCCCTCTCTCTTGTTGTCATTTTCTCCTATGCCCCCTCTCTAATTTTCCAACCCCCACCCCTCCAGGTAATTATTGCACAGTCCGTTACTCACTAGAGAAATGCCAAATTTCATCTTGATTTAGATTCTTCCAAAATAACACTTTTGATACCCCAAGATAGGGAACGATTCAAAAAGGAAAAATGGTGTAGTACTCTGCTGACTGTTATACACCCAATACACGGAGGGTAACTCCTAATGGTATCCGCGATTACCCAGCTGTACCGAACTTTTGAATTTTCATAGCATAGTTATGATCGACAGCCATCCTTTTCCAAGATTTGTTCCCATAACATTGTTCAAAAGTGTCTGCTGCCAGGTGTAAGAAACAAGTTTTATTAATTCTTACCTCAAATAACATTTGTTACAAGCTACAAAAAGTTAAGTATGATTTACGTCGTTCAAGTTACATTTAAATCATGTTTTATTGTTGGAAAGGGGGACAAAGTGCGTTAAAGAGCAGCTAGATTCACCAGGTGTTCATTTTTTTCCAATATAGCGACGTCGGTAGGAGCTTCGTCGGCGTGTATAATATCTGCGTCGATAGTAGCTTCGTCGGCGTCGATAGTAGCTTCGTCGGCGTCGATAATAGCTTCGTCGGCGTCGATAGTAGCTTCGTCGGCGTCTGCGGCGGCGCCAATATAAAGCCTTCGGAACTGCTGCTGGCCTGCGTGTTGTCATGGAAACACTGAAAACAAAAGACATTCGTCAGTTATTTACAATGATATGAACATTTTTTCACTTATCAAACAGAATGCGTGCAAGTCAGCGCTACGACGTTTAAATTTGTTGAAATGGTTGTGACTTACACTTGCTAACATATTTCAGTTTTTCAGTAAGTTTTTTTAAACAATTGCTATCATGAAGTAAAAGGTCGAATTCCTTGGTCAATCGTTTCCTGCCGGATTAGGTGAAAACTGAAAGGAGTAGAGTCAGCGAGATGCAATTCTTCCTAAACTCAACAGAGTCTAAACAGAGGAAATAGTCACCTAGTAATGCGCAAAAAAAAAAAAAACGGTTAAGAAGTTTGTTCGGTAAAATGCAATGAAACTTGAAAAAGTCGACATTTTCTTTCCTCTATCACTTGGAAAAATTAGAAAATGACTCAAAACGACGGTCAGCCTTTCTTTTTTCTGGCAGTGATTATGAACAGCAGCCTGAGTGTGCAGGCTGTACGAAAATATGAAAATAGTTGAAATAATGGTATATCTTTTTTATTATCAATGATGGCGTCAACTAAAGGGAAAAAAATACACCAGAAAAGGTTCGAATCAATCAGTTTTTAATTGCATGGAATATGGTTTACCTTTCAGCATTCTCTAACTCTGCATTGTCGTTTTCATCGTCATCTTGAGAAACAGGGTTTGGACTGAAAGGAGAGGAATAGATTGTTAGTTATAAGGAACAATCAGGACTGTAGCGATTAAAAAATTGGAGCGCGTAAATTGTTGACTAGCACTATCCGTCAATTTCTTTTAAGGAAGTGCTCTGTGGAGGAGACGCATCAAGAAAGAATAAAAGATGGGCGATAAAAGGTCGCCTAACCCTAATTGCGAGTTGATTGACAGTTGCGCTGACAGATTCGCAGTTCATATTGAAAGTTGTAGAAAGTAACTTGTTAACTGACTTCACTATCTGATCCCGAGGTTGGTGGCAATTCATGAGGGAAATATGCCATTTGTACCCGCTCCGCGGGCTTTTGGTTTTGTTAAAAGCTCAGCGAGTGGTCAACTGATTTGATAATTTAGTACCTAAACGACGCTTGGTGAAGAGAAAAACATGTCTGATGTCATCATGTATTTGGGAAATTATTTCTGAGACAGAGAGATATGTCTGGTCTCAGTGGAGGATTCTCTTCGGCTCAGTATGAAAATTAGTCCTTAGTCGAAAAGAAGTAAAAACGCTGTTTGTTGAATGTGTGAAATCATGCAGTTTACCTTTCAGGATCATCCGACTCTTCAGTTTCCGCATCAATTTCCGCATCGTCGTCTTTATCTTCGTCTTCGTCTTCCGTAAAAGCATCTTCACTGAAAATTGACGGAATATAGAGTTCACTTGCTAAAATATCTCAGTTCGATTAAATGTCATGTCAACTTTCGGACTAAGCATAAACCAAGCCATGACTGTCGAGAAGGAAACAACTGAAGAGAAGGCGTTTAGCGTTTGTGCATCAACCGACAAACGGAAAAAGGTTTACAATCACAGAAGCATCGAGATCATCCTCGGAGACCCAGTGGCAGATAGTGGGGGCGAGGGAAAGTCTAAACGGGCGGAAAAATAAGGCACGAAGAAAAGTCTTTACTTTTTTTTTGTGCCATATTTTTCCGCCAGTTTAGACTTTCCCTCGCCCCCACTATCTGCCCCTGGGTCTCCGAGGATGCATCGAGATATGTATCGGAGAAATAAAAGAGTCGAGTGATCAGCTCTCAGAATCAGAGTCGGACTCTTAATGCTGTCATCTAAAATGTATGTATATAGCATTTCAAAGAACAGATTAGAAATATATTTTGAGTTTTCATAATACTGACTCACTCTAGTGTATTGCAAGAAGTAGATTTTATCATTTATACAAGAGGGGGAGGGTCATGATAGTTTAGGCCAAGCTCAAGGGAATGGTTGGCAAATTTCACTCCCACTGCAGGGATCGGTCACCTCGTTTCCGAACCCAAATTTAAAATTCCCACCTCCCCTCCCCCGGCTGCTAAGTTCTGACAAGTCCCCAAGTCGTTTGAAAAGAAACAAGAAACGATTTCAACCAGCCACGGGCTTTAACATTTAAACCGCCGCTTTGAGAGCTTTTTAGCTACAGTCGATTGCTGGTTTTGAAAGATATAGCACAACAAGTAAAAGTTATGCCGTTCTGAAGGTACAGTATTTCGAAGCCATTGTAACCTAAATATTTCTTTTCAGCGCCAGATTTATGCAAATTTTGAAAACAACACCATAGGATATCCTATCTAGAAACGTTCAGTTAAACAGTTGGCAGGCTTTTATAAAACCTTGGGATGGATAGGTGCTTCGCGTTTTGGAGTTTTGGGTGCTTCGTTTTCGAGATTTGGGTGCTTCGTTCTTCGGTCTTCGTTTTCGAGTGCTTCGTTTTCGAAACTACCCCTAAACAACATACAGTTTTACATAAAAGATGCAGTTGACTCCTGATGACTCGAACCTCGCGCTAATTCGAACCAAGGTCGATTTACCCTGGATTTCCTTCTCACATTTACTGTAGGTAAGGGTTATCGGCCTCAAGCGAGGGGTTATGTGATTTATTCTCCTCGTGCGTTGCCCGAGAGCGCAGCCCGAGGGCAACGCACAAGGGAATAAATCACTAACCACGAGCTGAAGGCCGATAAACGACTTATTTTTACATTGGCCAGGATTCCTCAAGGGATGCAAAAATACAGTGACGAAAAATGCCTCTATTGTTCATCTTTCTTTTCTTTTTTAACACTCCATGCTGGCACTGGTGGCATTTACAAGTTCCTCGGCTTTTTAACTATGTTAGTTTTTCAAAGTCGCATTTCAAATTAGTTGTTCGCAGTGAATGCAGTGTCGAGCGATTCAGAGTCAGAAATAGAGCCGTTTATTACTCAAACTAAAGCAGCGTCGGGGGCGGTACTGTAATTGAGCTTTCGGAAAACAATTTTGAATATTCATTTGCGGGTGCAGACAACAAGCGAGCAGTTAACAACTTCAATTTTCGCACCGACGATCTTTCGACCGACCTGCATGTTTACAGACAAAGAAAATTCCGGGCGAGGGATCACTACAAGGAAATTCAGTCGAGAAGTCAAGCAAGAATACCACAAACACAAAGAGGTTAACTACATGTCTTCATGGAGTACGCGAGTTTGTGATGACTGGTTAAAGAACGGAACACCTTACCATGACAGCGACACTTTCGTAGAACCGTAGAATACCGTGCAGCATGAAAATTTTGCGGATTCTAATTTTTGCGAATTAATTTTGCGGATTGACCTCGATTCGCTAAAATTAGTTCCCGTACAAAAAAAAAACGCAAAATAAAACGCCGCAAAAATTAACACACTTCAGTCAAATTAAAAACTCTGCTTTTAATGGACTTGTTGTGTATGGTAGGGATAGGCTTTTGTTTTGTTTTGCTGTTGTTCAGTCCCTTTGTGCAGTAAGATATTACAGTGATTACCGTATTATTCTCC